ATCTAAAGGTGTCTCATCACATCTTACTTCATGGATCACATCAGCAGGAACTTTTCTCTATCCCTGCTGTTTCCGTGGCTGCTCTGCGGACCCAGCACTTCCACTTTCTTGAAATGGTCCCACAAGCAGAAGCAGCTCTGAAAATCCCTGCCCTGAATTCTTTCTTTCCCTCTCTCCAGATCCACTGTGGGTTCATCTGTATTCCAAGGGAACTTTGTTTTCTTTTTCTTCCCTTCCCTCAATCCTTTTAATCCTGCAGTTCAAGCAATTAACTCTACAAATATTAGCTGCAATCAAGGTCTAGCACATGTGGTAATTTTCCCTCTAATAAATCAATCAATTCTTTCCATGGAGTGTTTTTCCCCCTTACAGTCATTAGAGAATTACAATGCTACTTGAGGATCACCAGCAACTTGAATTAGTCAAGGAACGTCAATCAAAGTTGCCAGATTTTGCTTTAAAGATGAGAAAAATGGGACAGATTTACAAAGGCCTCTTGTCTTAGAATAGGAAGCTTAATAGACCCTTGTTGAATCTCTGTTAGAGAGGCCTCGGAGTATAATGATCCATTCGGATAAATCAAAATCAGTACTACTAGCGACAAATCAGACAAAATATAGAACCTCTCATTAAATAATCTGAAAATTAATAATTGGAATAATCAGCCATGCAGTGTCCCTAGGCAAGGCAATATTCTGTAATAGCTAGTAGGTTACTACACCGAAGAAAAGGGACAAATAATCTAGCAGATGGACAAATTTTAGTTCCATAACTTAACAATTTTTATGTGCTTTAAGTTTTTGATATATGTTTGCAATCCTTAACTAATATATTCATTTTGGGGTATTGGTGTACACACACACACACACATCTTTCATTCCCTTTTCTCCCCTCCTTGCTCTCTGCCCTCCCTGCCCTCTTCCCCTGGACTTTAGTTAGAAGGAGCTAAATGATCCAAACTCTGCTTCTCAGAGCTTATTTTAGAGTTGAGGACAAGGAGCAAGGAGAGAGCAGGGTCAGGGTCAGGGAGAGAGCAGCTCCCCACTGCAGTATAGCAGCTCCATTTTTGTCCCTTATTTCACCTAGGGTTCTGTTGAGGAAGTGATTTTCCCTCTTTGAAATGATATGAGAATCACTTAAGTGACCCTGACTACTATTTTCATAAATACATAAAGTAAGTGCCAGAAAAATGGAGGAATTTTTGATTGAATAACAGACCCTGTGTCATTTTTCCACCCCGTGCCTACCATGCTATTACACTTGGGAAGCAACAGTCAGGTGAGAATCCACCTGCCTTTGGTTTGAGCCCTTTTTTCGCTTTTGTTTTCAAAAGGCCAAAAGGAAAAAAATATTCAGCCAAACTAGCATGAGCAGAGGCTAGAATGCTCTGCTGGAAACAGAGTCTGCACTCTGCTCCCCTCTCTGCAGTCTTCTAGTCCCTCTGGAAAACTATATCATTCTTTAGTACTGAGAGGGGGCACAGGGAAGAGGGGGAGGCCTAGTTCCATCTTCTTATGTCACCAATGTATTCCTATTAAGAGTGAAAGAAGTGAAGATTTCAGTAGGATACTTGGTGAAAACTTGCTGACATTAATGACTCAAATTCTCAGAGAGACTGCAAGGAAAATGGTGTCATCACTGTCATTCAAGCCATTTAAGATGAAATTTCAAAAGAAGGTTGTCAGGCATAATGACTGCCAGGTTCCATTATATCATCCTCAGAGGGTGGATCACACACTACTATGCGGCTGTGGGCGGCTGATGCTGAAGTTTGAAAGGAAGCTGCACAGAGAAGGGGTGAAGTGGGCGTGGGACCCAAGGGGGGCCGCCTCACATGACTGGGATACATCACTGCTGACAGCCACATGGCAATCTGGGGGCAAATCTGTGATCCAAGGTCTGATCTTCAGTCTTGGATATGCTGAAACCTAACCCATGAGGACGTTTAGAGGAGATCATGCTCTTGGTGCTGAAAAACTTTAGGAAAGTTTGAGCTCTTAACGCAAATGCCCATTTATCAATGTGCTATGAGAATACTCTTCTCTGGTGACTGGGATATTTGTGCTCAATGCATCCCAGCAATGAAATACTTGCAAAGCCTGCATAGTAATCAGCAGGCAGCTATGTGGGTAAGAGCAGTGCTTTTCAACCTTCCTGAACATTGCAATCACCAGGGGTGCCTCGATGCTGAGGCCACAACCTAAAATCAAATATATCTGACTCTCAGGGATGAGGATGCAAACGTCAGTACTTTTAAATCTCGAGTAATTCCAATGAGCAGGCAAAGCTAAGAACCACTGGGGTAAAGCAAAGGGTGAGGCTTGGGCAAGTTTTCAAGTTGTCAAGTAAGGACATTAAAAACTCAACCACCATTATTTCACCAAAGAAAGGAAATTTTAACAAGCATTAGAAATGACATAACTCCAAGACGCAAGATTAACTCACTACTTTATATTTATTTTTCTCATGTCTCTATAGGGCAATGATCAATCACTTCACTACAGACTAATACAAACCAAAGAATCGATGTGATCAAACTGCTTTCTACATCCATAGCCAAATCTTTCCTCCTTGGACAGCTTCAGACACACTTGACTAAGTTTTGGTTAATTAAACTACTGTCCTATGCTAACTGTTCCTCTTTTACCATAGCCTTTCTGTACAGGTATCAATACTATTAAACTGTAAGTAAGGTTTGCTCCTTTGCTTTAGAAATGTTCTGTCTTTCCCAATTACCAAATATGTTGATGTAGTAAGTTTAACTCTTCTTAGATACCTTGAACTACATTTTCTAAAGTGGGTGGGGCATATACATCCTTACAGAAGTTCGTATTGGAGGTTCATGGTTCCATCTTGTTTTGCTAGCATGACCATTACTCTAAATCCAAGGGAGGGCCTGGAGATATAGCTTAGTGGTAGAGTGCGTGCCGAGCATGCACACAGCCCTGAGTTCAATCCCCAGTACCATAAAAATAAAAAATAAAAATAATTCATAAATCCAAGGGAAGAATCACTAGATTCCCAAATAATCTGAATTGTGTTGTTTTTATGTGTCAAGGTACAGAGAAATTTAAAGTCTTGAAACAAAAAACCTTATATGTGAAAGTTTATTTTGAGTGCCTCTTTGGGATCTACCTGCCATTTCTTCTGTGATTATGGTTTATGTTGCTCTCCTCTTTCCCTTAAGATGCACTGGTGTTGGCATTCTTGAACCAGTTCACACTTCACTGTCTATCTTTAACAAGTCAGGCATGAGCAACTACTAAGAGAGGGTAGCTTGCTGCAAAGCTCACCTATCCTCCCAGACTACCTCAAAGTTCCCTTCAACATGTGCATAAGATACAGGCTCATTTATGCTTGACAAACATGTGAAATAAATCTTCATTTACTAATTTCTTCTAAGCCAATATGCTTAGGGGTAGATCAAGAGAATAAGACCTAGAATAAATAAGTGCTCTGGAACAACTGGAAAGTTCTATTTGCAGATATCTGCGTTCTGCAGAAACCCAAGACGTATAACTAATATCAGCTACTCTGCCCAGCTCAGCCACAACTGAAGTGCTGGCCATGTTTTCAAGGTTGGGGGCTTTGTTTAGAGCAGTGCGCAAACCTCGGATTTCCAAGATCTTTGTTTGAATCCCAGATACCCTTTTCAGCAAGTTTCCTGATCTTTCTGATCTCAGTCTCCTTACCTATAAAATAAGAATATAATTATCATCATCTTGTACATCACTTTCTACAGTTGTAAGAATTAAATAACATAATTCAAGTAAAATACTTAGCAAAGAGTCAGACACACTAAGTACTAAAAATTAACTTTGCAGGTCAGAAGTCAGTACAATAGCATGGCATTCAGTAGATGTTCAAGTAATCGCATATACTTGTATGTGTGTGCACACACACACAGAGAGCAGTTGTATATCTATTTGTAGAGGGAGGAATCTCATGAGACATGCAGAATAAAGGAGCTGTCACTGAATTCTGAGCTTTAGTTTTCAGGTCTTTGCAATTTAAACAAACCCATTTTGGTACATAGTCTTGCTTGTGACTATCTTTTGTCTCCCTAAAAGCTAATCTTCCTTGCTGGTCTATGGTGAATTTTTTGTGACCACAGTCCCTTTCCATTAAAATGTCCTTTCTTGTCTTTGCCTGCTACTTCATTCTGGTACTTGTTAGACCCAGAGCCTAGTCCTTTTCCGTAATACTGAAGCAGCCAAATGCTTTAAAGGAAAGCACTTAGAAATCCATATATTTGCACCCACATCTCCATATTTTCAAATTTTACCAAGAAGAATTTGAATTTCTGTATTGGTACATCACTTCTGAGTCATGGATCAGAGAGATGGAGGTAAGCAGGCAATGCCCTGTGTTGCTGTGGGGATTTATATCCATGCAGGACCCAGTGCAGTGCAATATTTTTATCCTGCTACAATTAAAAATTTTCAAACTCAATTAATTACTATTATTCAACTTCTTCCTACCTCTGCCAAAGCTCCTCTTTTTCCCCTACCAGAAACAAAAGCAAACTAAAAACACATCAGGAGATGAACTTCTCAAGTTGCTGAAAATTTACCGTAAGAGTCAAGCCTGTTTCTGAAAGTTTCAACTCACCCAATCAGACAACAGGCTGAGGAAGGGAGGCATTTATCAAGTTACACGGAGGACTCCATCTGTTATCCTAGACCTTTGTTACCAAGCGACACAAGAAGACATACTCTAAGGTAGTTTGAGAGAGTTTCACTTTACAGATTCTTAGTTGAAAGATTTCAATTTAGAGAGAAGAAGCAGCACAAGAAGAGAGAAGCCAAGTGTGAGTGATGGAGAAAACTTCACAGACTGACATTCAACCCGGCGAGAACTTCGGTCCATGGTGAATTTTCCTTTTCAGCTGGCATCTGTCCCTTCGGCTTCTATAATAAATGCAGACACAGAGGCAGTCTCTTCTCGATGCGCACAAAGGTCTGGCTTTTGAACTGCACCCTCCCAACGGCTGTTTCTCATCATGCCAGACCAACAGAAGAAAATCATTTTTTGCATGGCTGGGGTCTTAAGCTTTGTGTGCGCTCTTGGAGTTGTGACAGCTCTGGGGACACCACTGTGGATTAAAGCCACCATCCTTTGCAAAACAGGGGCTCTGCTCGTCAATGCCTCAGGACAGGAGCTGGACAAGTTCATGGGTGAGATGCAGTATGGGCTTTTCCACGGAGAGGGTGTAAGGCAGTGCGGGTTAGGAGCAAGGCCCTTTCGGTTCTCATGTAAGTACCAATTGCATTTACATTATTGAATACTTTGGGAGCACTCATCCAACTGCTGCGAGGAATTATGTTCAGGGTCTTCCTGTCAGCTGCAGGACTTTTTAAGCCAGTGTGAACCATTTGAAATACGTAAGACTCAGTAATTTCTTCTTTTTAGTTTTTTTGTTTTTATTTTATTAATTGTTCATTCTTGCTATTTTTATTATGACAGCACTTAGTTCACTGGTTGTTAAACATTTTGAAAACATGAGGAATTAAGAATCCTAACTATCACCATTCATGTAGGAAATCACGGAGTCTTTTTTTGAAAAGGGGAACTTGGGAAATAGGAAAGCTGTAAGAAATGCTCTTCTTGCCTTTTGTTCTGTAGTAAAGGACCCGTGTCCTGGGCTCCTTATCTAATCCTACCTGCTTTTCTTCTTTACCCATGGCCCATGTTTCCTGGCCCTCATGCCCTTTATCCCTGCCAGGACCTTTGGTGCTAATAATCTGTTTTCATTTCTAACCAACTTAAAATCACTTGACTACAGAAATTTTAAATGATCTGGGATAATGAGGAAAGAACTAGATGCCTATTTAGTATTGAAAATCTGCAACTGATTTACCTTCAAGTCATGTAGAGACTATGAGACAGATTTTCCTGTTGTGATTTTTGTGAAACGGAAGTGTTATCCACAGTATTTATAACCTGTTTATCTTAAGAAGGGAATTTTTAAAAAATTACCATGTGAATAGGCAACTCATTAAGTGAAAATTAATAAGAAGTCATTTGTTATATCTCTCACAACACACATCCAGAAGTTATTATTATTTCAGAAGGGCTGGCTCAGAACAATCTTATGAAGACACAGTCAGTAAATTACTGCATAAATCACTCTTCAGGAAAGGAGGTTACCAATTGAGGCATTTAAAATGAATTATTATTTTGCCCAAGTTTCTTTTCTCCTCTCGTATAGGTAGAAAGTGAAATTAATTGAATTTATTATTAACATATGCAGCGTCTAATTAAATTTCAGTGCTGGTCTATTTATATTTCTGCAACATTCCTTATATCTTCTTAGTAGTCACAGGGACCTTCAACTCACAGAGGTTACAAATTAATATGAATTTTCATAGGGCTCTAGAAAATCCCCAAGAATTAGTCTTAAGCTTTTCAAGAAATTATCATCAAGTAGATCTGATGAAGTGGATACAACCCTTTTCACTGAATACCTGTAGTTCATTAAAGCGTTGGGGCTGTTAAGGCTACTCAGCTTTCCTTAGAGGGGGGCAAGGAGAACAAAGCAGAATGTTACGTGATCTGCAACTGTACTGAAAAATAAAAAAGGAAAAATAAGGATGAGTGAAATGATTTAACCATGAGTCGCAGCAATGACAGCGTGAGTAGAGCTTGTCATAGAATTTGGACAAAAGCCTGCATGTACAGGGAATATTCAGGAGCCTGTGTAGTTGCTGCAGTGAGATGGAGGTAAACTCAACTCAGGCCATGGGACATGTTTCAAACCAGTAGCAAAATGTTTCTGAACCCTTACTTCACACTAAGCACTTTACGTACTTTCTTTTATTCAGTCTTCATGGGGCCATGTTCTTTCCTCTTGCAGTTCACTGAAAATAATTTTTGAATCTGTTTCCTTTTGTGCTGGGTCTGTCTGTGAAGAAGTTGTTCCAATCAGATGCCCCCCGGCTTGCTTTCTGTCAGGACTAACAGAGCTGGTGGGGCCAAAACAACACCCTCACCTACACCCCAAGTTGCATTAGTCTCCACAGTACCCCAAACAGCTCCCCAACCTAGTGAAGAAAACTTAAGTCACTCATTTGTTCCATGGTGACAACCATCTCTGTGTACCACAGACTGTACATACTAAGCATTATCCCTACACTGCATGTAAGTATTCATGTTAGAATCTCATTCATTTTGGTGAATTCCAGAGAAGTATACTAATAATATGATTTTTTTCTGCCGAAGCATAGAAGTATCTCTTTCAATGAAACATAAAATGCTGGCGAAACCTGAGAATAAACAGGTTAATTGGGCTCCCCAAAGAGCACAATGCTCATTTAAATAAACATCCCTGTCAGTGTTAAAACTTCCTAATCAACATGCCTTGGGATATACAGCAGTCTCAAAGTTTACAGTCCCACTGCAATATGTTTGGGGTTCACGTTTTCTCACTGCAAATACCGTGATGCTGGCAACGATATTTCATCAATGTATCACTGAAGTAGGAGTCCTCTGATATTCTTCTTGATAGAAAAGTATAAACCCTTTTCATATAAAAGAATAAGAGGCCCAAGTGTCTTCTCCCTATTAGCTTTCTTCAAGAAAGCTCTCTGAGGGCCTCTGATTCTTTTCTCTTTCTTCTGGAGACCAACTTATGAGCAGAGCACAACTCATTTCTCAGAACTTTCTCCTTTTTCATTGCTCCTCTAGAAAGCTATTAAGCAAACATTTGGATCTGCAGAAGCTTTCCGTGTGGGAGGAATGGAAAAGGTAACATCGAGATACAATCACTTTATGGTTGGTTTTTTGTGTGTTGTTATCATCAGTTAATACGAATTTCAATTCTGTTGCACTGTCAAATTCTATTTTGCTTATCCAAACTGTTCCTTTAGGCCAGGATTGGCTAATAGAAATACAGTGCAAGCTATAAATGCAAAGAACATATGTAATTTAAAATGTGCTAATAGCCACATTTTTAAAAAAGCAAAAACAGGTTAAATGAACTTAATGATACATTTTCCTTAACCCAAGACACCCAGAATACTGTCCTTTTTAACATGTATTCAATATAAAAATTGTTGAGCTATTTCACATTCTTTTGTTTTTCTTAGTGCTTTGAAATTATTGCTTTATACTCATAGCATGCCTAACGCAGTGTAGCCACATTTCAAGTGCTCATTTTAATGGCTACTGGATTAGACAGTACAGATTTAGAAGAAGATTCACTCTGAATAAATTGGCCATTGATAGTGTCCATATTCTAAATGACTTTTTAGTGGCTCTGCTGTACAAGTCTATGTGTGTTATTTTTATGCGCAATGTTTGTGTCACTTTTAAAACCTAGATATATGGCACAACATGAGAATGAGGACTGTACCAGAAGAATAGTTCGACAGTGTAGTCATGTTTGTTCCTATTAAATGTTCCCCATTGGGCACTCTATCTCTTTTAATTATAACAAGAATCTGCCCTGCTAGCATGCACAGTTATGCTGGGAAAACTTCCGCCTCATTTACTCTGGAGGATTCTCATGCAGTTATGGGTCAGTGGTTCATTTTCTAGAGGTCACTAGCATTCATACCTAGCACACAATTTCATTCATTATAATGAAGGAAGGTTTTCCTTTCAAGGCAACACAACTGGTGGGCTTAATTTTCCCTGATATGTCACTTGTAAAATTTTAATGATGATGTTTAAACTCTAGATGTAGCCAATAAGACAAAAACTGCTAGTTCTGAGCTCAGAGTCTGTGGGTGGGTTTCTGTTTTGGTGGTTTCAAACATTTCAGAACATCATCAAAATATGAAACCGAGAATCATATGGTATCAATCATTCCTAGATATACTGATCTAGTCATTGCCAAGGCAATTCAATGAGCTGGTAAAACATATGGAATCTTTTTTTTAATGTGAAAAATAAAATTTAACTAGTCGTGTATCACAGCTTGTAACTTTAGTCATACTTTGTAAAGCATCTGAATTTGGACCTTATGACTGAAAATTTGTAAAAAGCTTAACAGAGATTTAGCTTACTTCACATTTTAGAAAAGTAGAGTTTCTTTACCAAATGAGGCGTATGACCTAGATTGCAGAGAGCATGCTGAAACTACTTCTGTGAGCAAGAAGGTGGCTTCTGGAACACACTTTGGAATAGAGTACTGTAGTGGGACGCAGAGTCTCTATGCCTATCACTGCGAGCTGGCACTCTCCATCTTCATGGTCTCTTTCAGCCCTGCCTCTAGTCTTCTGCTGATCCGAGGTGCCCTAGCAAACCCACCTGTCACCAGCATGTGCATCCTGCATCTCTGCCATTGCCTGGCCCATGGCAAAGTTACCAAAGGGCTTTGATGTCCCTCCCTTCTTCAAAGTAGGGCCTATGTGGAAGCAAACAGGGTGGAGGAGAAGGTTGTGGGGAGCCTGGGGAGCTGATCTTGGAAATCTACCTAGTGGGAGAAAAAAGAAAGAAGGCACTTTACCTTTTCACTTAGGGGCCCTATTGTTAGTCTCTTCCCCTGTGAAAAAAGTCTCACATACACGGACTTTATTTCTCACTGGGACAAATGTAATTAACTGACTGAAAGAGAGTAATGTGTGAGTAGGAATAACCTTCAATTTCTCTCAGCCAGGCGTTGTTCTGTCCTGCCTAGATCTTGATGTCCTCTTCATTATTCTGAAACACCTATAAGTGTTTGAGAATGTGTATTTCTCCTTTGCAAGAACATCCTAATCCTCAAGAAGGTGGGGATTGGATACTATTTGTCCTGGGATGCCCTCAAACCAGGGCATGGCAGAAAGAGGTTCTAACAAACGAATGATTTTTAAGTCTTGCATCCATAAAAGGGAACTGAAAGTAGGTAATTTCTTAATATCTTTTCCAGTTCAAATGCTCTGTAATCTATAATATATGTGGCTGGCTATTCTTGACAAGGTCCTTTTAGCTTTAAAATTACATGACCCTTCTAGTCTCGGTCACTTGAAGTCCCCGCCACTGACAGATTTCAGCCACCATTATTAGAAGTGGTGAGTTACGAGGGCTTTTACTCCGTTTCTCAAAGCTCATGATTTCTAAAGTATTCTGAAATATCTGCTATTTATCAGGACCCAGACAAATTTCATGATAAGAGTGAATACTCTTTTCCTTTCCTGTCACAATCTTTTGCTTTTTGTGTGGGAAATCACAGTCAAGAAGGAGGTGATTAAGAAAGGGCTGCTTCCTGTCTTAGTCACTTTTCTGTCACTGGGACAAAATACCCGACATCTGCAAGTTAAAGGAGGAGAGGTTTA